AAAAAAAAAAAAATACTTTTTGAACAAATTAATTTTTAATGAACTGTAGGTATATTTAACTTATTTTTTAAATATATTTATTATTTGTTTTAGGTTTGGCTATGGTGATGATTCCCAGCAATATTGTTTTTATTTCATCTACGTACTTCAAATTTAATGCTTGGAGATTTTTTATACTTTTAACTTCTATACCAAGTCTAATTTCATTTGTATTGATATATCGTTACCCGGAAACTCCACGATTTTTAATGTTTCGCGGTTATTTAATAAAATCCAGGGATATTCTGGAACAAATTTATATAGTTAACAACAACTTTACATCAATTCCGTATCCGGTAAATATTATTTAATAATTTTTAAACTTGTAGTTAAGAATATAATACTTATAATAGTTGAATATCCAATGTAATATCAATTTGAATTTCAAATAGCTTTAAAAAATTTAATTGATTCTCTAACAGAATTTTTTTTTTATACAGACTGCATAACTTATAAAAAACCTTGTATTAAAAATGTTTAGATATAAATAGAAAATTTTAATGAATTTCTTAGTATAAAATAATTTATGATTTTTGAAATTTTGTCAAAATTAATACTAACAAAGCTCATAAAAATATTGTGATTATAAATAAAATTATTTTTTTAATTGGGCAATGAATAACTTATTAGGAATCTTATATTAAAATGTCAATCAATTTTATCCAAAGGTATTCTTTTTATCTTTTAATCAATGTAAAAATAGAAATTCCAATTGTCTTTAAAGAATTATAAAAGATTCGGAATATTTTGAAACTTCTTATATCAATATTTTGTGAACATTTCATGCAAGTATCTATTGAGTAGGTACAAAGTGATTTTTCTATTATGAAAAAATTATCTTTTTTAATTATATTAACATTTTTGAAAATATTTCTTTATATAATTTACAGTAAAAAAAAATTTGATTGTTATATTTATTAAGTTTTTTACTTTTTTGAATGATAACATACATTTTTAGTTTTATATTCTAAAATAGAATATTTTTCGGAGTATTTTGATACATAAAAAACGAAATTCAAACAAATAGTTTATAAGCTACAAATATTTAAGTCATAGTGAACAAAGTAGTAGGCCAATATTTTGAGAGGTACTCACCTATGCTTTAAAATTTAAATATTTAAAACTCAAAAACTGCTCGTTCGAATTTCAATCATTATGTATTAAAATGTACCAAGATATAATTTGCTTTAGGATATAGAATTAAAAGTGTAAGTTTTCATTAGAAAAAGTAAAAAATTAAAAAAATTATAAATATGTAAGTAATGAAAAAAGAATTTAAAAAAGAAAAGTTGAAAATAGAACTATTTTAACTGCCCCGAAAGGTGATAGATGGAAAAAAACATTTCTATTTAAAATCCAAGCATTCGTCCCTTCATGCTCAGAATATCTAAAAATTAAAACAGTATACAAATATTACTAACATTTATTGAAAAGATATATGAAGAATAGTACATAGTCTAACTTATATAATTTTTACTAGAACTATTTGAATATAAATTAATGAAAGATTAATAGTTTTCAATATTAGGTACAATTTATAACAGTACAGGTACCTACTTCATTTATTCATGTAAAATTACCTAAAATTAATTATTTGCAAATATTATAAAATAATATTATTATTACCTATCTTAAATAGGTATTTAAATTTTTTTATAAATGTGACTTAAAATAAGTACTTTATTGAATTGTGAATATAAGTAAATTAAATATTTATACATTTAAATTATTCAACTATAGGTGCAATTTTTCACTCAAACCCGTTCAGCAATTCGGTTTGATGCAGGATTTATTGGAGGCATTCCATTCATGGAAAATGTTAAAAGAAAATTAATTGTTCTAAAAAATGATCATATAAAATTATTCTCTAAATACTTCAGAAATATTATAGTAGCTTGTACTATAGAATTTTGTTTAATGGCATCGTAAGTTATTCATTTTATTTTTATTTTAGACGGTAGTAACTAAAAGTGCGGTAAAAACTAGTATTGAAAATTTGCATTTAAAATCATATAAATAATAAAAATTATGAAAAAAATTAATAATTGATCATAAAATATATCGTTTTACCTATATATAATATTAACTTAAAAAAAAAAAATATATAGATCACAAAAATTTAAAAATTAAAGTTATAATAAAAAATATCTCTTTTATAATTTTCATAATATTTTAAATAATATGAATCCTTTAAGACTAAGATGTAAAATGAATCAAACTAAAGTCTGAATAAATTAAAACTGTTTTTCGAGTGCATCTATATTTGTTTTCAAATTAAACATAATTTTAGCACAAGTTTCTCCCTTAATATTCAAAGTAGGTGACATCTAATTTGAAAATAATTTATAATTTCTTTTACGTGTTACAGGTATATAACTATTCTTGTATGGGTGCCGGAATTGTTTTCTAGATACTCTAATTACAAAAAACAAAATACAGATGGTGTAAATATATGTATAGCTTCAGAATGGCATTTAGTATATAACTCTATGTTTGCTGGACAAACAGTTTCAGTCAATGCTTATTTAGCTGCATTAATTGTGGCATGTTCATCAATACCTCTAGTTCTACTTACTGGGATCTTAATTAAATATTGTAACAAAAAATTATTGTTATGTATGTATTTGATTTTATATTTATAAAAACCTTTGTAATTATTAAAAAATTTAGTTTTCATCCAATTTGTTGTTATAATAAGTTGAAAATATGTTCATAGTTATTACTTGTGGAGTTCCAGTTGTGTTCGCATTACTGGTTTCAAGAACTTATAACGATCTACAAGCAGAATTAATGTGTTGCGTTTTTGAAGGATTTACTTCATTAACAGAACCTATTATATTTTGTTCTATTGTTGAACTATTTCCTAGTAATGTGAGGTAATAGTTAAAACTTAAAATAAATAATGTTAGGTTAATCATATATTATTAAGTGCTGTTTTTATTTAGGGGAGTGGCATTTTCAATGATTGTGATGACTGGTCGATTAGGTGCTATATTTGGAATAATTGTTTTTGGAATACTGATTGATATAAGTTGTTTTATGATGTTTTATGCTTTAGCCTTGTTACTATTAAGTAAGTATTGCAATCTAAATATGTAATTATAAAATTTTTGTTTAATTGGGTGGCTTTATTATTGTTTTCATTATTTAAAAAATATACTAATATTCATTGAAATAACTTATTAGGTAACAATTAATTCATTTTGAAATTTTAACTTTTAGGTAATACTCTATTTTTTTTTTTTTTAATTGTGTATTTATTGAATAGCTTATTTTTATTAATTTAATATGAACTAATAAGTTTTTTCTTTTCAATAAGATCTAATACTTGATTTTTTAAAGTTATGATTATGCATCAAATTAATACTTCTACTTATTATTGCAAACTAATATTATTCAGTATAAGCTATATTTTACTATTATTTTATTTTTTCATACAAACGTCTTATTAACTTTTATAATTTTACTATGTTCTTAAAATATTATTATTTTTATATTTTTTTCAGTTGCATTTATTGCAGTGGCGTTTTTACCTAAATTAAAAATTGGCGGTGGCCATTAGGTGAGCGCGTATAATAGCCGAAAATATATCAGCCAAACCGTATTTTAGCCGAAAAATAATTGGTTGGACAAGTCAATTAGCAGAACCGTATTTTAGCCAACAGTATTTTATCACTAGCGTCTAGAGACAGCACAAGAGAGCAAATATCTTATCAATTATCATAATGTTATAATCGTTAAAAATTTTCAAATCGCAAAACGTTTTTTGAAATTTGAATTTTTAAAGTTAATATATTATTCAAATATGTTTGTGTGCGCACATTGTACTATTGAATTTAGCAAAAAATGCAATTTAATAAGACACATGAAATTACATGAACGCACAATTACATCTTCAAAACCAGATACAGATATTGAATTAAATTTTGTTAATTTTCAGGGTAAATATACTACTTGAATTTACCACTATCTTAACTTATTTATGAAATCAATATTTCGATTTACTATAATTATTTATAGAGTTTGAAGAATGGAAATCAAATGAGGAGGTAAGTACTTTGTCGCGCTTTATTAAACAAAGATGGTCCAGATTTAACAAAGATAAAACTGTATCCACGAGCATTTATTATTGTCATCGTTCAGGAAAGTTTACAAGCAAGGCTACTGGAAAACGTGCCATGAAAATAATTGGTTCGTGTAAAATAGGCAAGTGTCAAAATCAGTAATATACATTAATCAATTTCTGAAATTTGTAATTATGTTTATCTGTTGAATATAATTATTGCATTGTGATTTTTTTATTGTTTTATGTGTTGCTTGCTGTCAATTGATCTTCAAGTCAAGTCGTAGGATCTTCAAGTCAAGTCGTTGGTGTTTATGAAATATCTGAAATAGTTCATCTTTTATGATATAATTATAAATTATTATGTACCTAATGTTAAATATTAAAAATTTGTTATTGTTTGCACAGGTTTGTTTTCATTATATTATTCTAAGATGACAAATCCCATCTATTCTCTATCTAATAACTCTACTAACTAATTAATTTACGTTATGTTTTGTATTTAATTGGTTTTAATGGGTAAAGTGGTGCAGTGAAATATTTAATGTACATTTAAACATATAAAATATAAAATATGTTTTACTATAAATAAAAATTAAATCATAACAGATATTAGTATTTTATTTTATTTTTATGATTTTTGTCTGGCTTAATAATTAAATTTATGTTTAATTAAACTTTTGTCGAATAACTTAATTAATAGCTAATGGTGAACTTACTGTGAACTGGATGTTAATGCTGTCTGTTTTCCTTTAATCAAAATTATGTTTAATAATAATAATTTTAGATAATTTCTGTCCTTCATACATACGAGTAGTAGTTAAAGGATGTGGAAATGTAGAAATCAAATATTGTAAGACACTTAAAGGGCATAACAATGAAGTAAAATATCTTCCCATTCCTAAAAAAGTACAAGAAACAATTTCTGGAAAATAGTGTCTTTTATTAGTATATTAAATAATACATTTAACATATTAACTATATTATTTATCCAGATAAAGTAAAAAGTGATAATTGACCAGCTCCGTGATGATTTTGATTATAATGTGGAAAAGAAGAATATAATAACTCGAAAAGATGTTTATAATATTTCTTCCAAGTATGGATTACTTCATAAATAGAAACTGCGTGACGTTGATGCTTTAAGTGTCGATCTTCAGGTTAAAAAATTTCAAGAAAACTCTTCAAATCCCATAATAATGTATAAAACCCAAGGTACGGTGTATTTTCCATTAGACATCAACGATTTTATGTTAATTATATTGACTGAAACACAAAAGGAAGTTCTTAAAAAATTTGGTAGCGAAAAATTATGTATTGATTCAACGCATGGTACTAATCAATATAATTTTAATCTTACCACAATTGCAGTAATTGATGAATTTGGTGAAGGATATCCAGCAGCTTTTTGTATAAGTACAAAAATAGACGAAATGTATATGACCATATTTTTTTTAAAAATAAAGGAGGTAATTGGTTGCCTTGCACCAAATGTGTTTATGAGTGATGACGCTCCAGCATTTTGGAGTGCATGGATTAAGACAATGTATCCAATTCCCAAATTTCATTTGTTATGTAAGTGGCATATCGATAATAATTGGCGAAAAAATCTTAAAAAGATTGCTGGAACACAAACTATGAAAGCTTATATTTATAAAACTCTCAAGAGTTTTACTCGAAGAACCAGATGAAACACAGTTTGAAACACTTCTCGATTCTTTTCTATGTAAAGTGGTAAAATTACACATTATGTTAATGCCATTATCAATCTTCATCGTTCTGCAACACAAATTCATAGATCCAATATTAATAAAACGTCAACAATTACTTGGACTGTGAAATCAGAATCATTAGCAGAGGAATATTTGGTAAAGAAATGTGAACCATGTGCATGCAAGGTTATTTGTGTCGCTTGTAAAATCTGTGTACATTTGTTCTCATGTACATCTTATGATTATACAATCAAAAATAATATGTGTAAGCATAGCCATGCCGTAAAAATGTATACAACTGATGACCAGGAGGACCAAATAGACGTCCAAACTATTTGTATTAATAACCTAATGGAAAATGTTAATTGTACAAAAAATTACTGCCCCATCTACAGGAAGTACTCGTATTGCAAACAAAATACAACAATTATATAGCATGTTTGTCTCACAGGGTAGTAAATTGAACAATGAACAACTAATGAAAATTAATTCATCATTAGACACAAATTTAAAAATATTATATGCACAGGAGAGCAATGCTACTATTTCATTGAATGAAAATCGTAAACCAGCCAATAAAAATGTTGAAAAGCAGTTAAGATTTTTTTCAACAAAGAAACAGATTAAAAATACCCGAGGAACAGCGATTAAACAAGCCAACTTTAAATGTAAGACAGCAAATAATAGACGACTTTAATGGCAAAAAAGTCTCCTTATGTCCACATAGATCCACATTTTGACCATGTCTATGAACAATAAATTCATCTATATTTATTTTTAACTATTTGTAAATGAATTATAAGACAACAATTTTTTTATACTTCTATTATTATGAATATATGATATTATAAATAAAATACCACTTTGTATATTATCCAGCCTCCATAGGTAGTTGCTATTCGATAAACCGCATCATAGATTCATGTCATTAATGAATGAAATAATATTAATTATTAATATTTAATGTCAAAGTCGGACTGGCGTCAAAAAGCCCAGTCTGCGATTTTATTAAAGGGCCCTTGCTAAGGTTTGAGTGGTTAGACTAAAAATTGTTATCTCCGTCCTCTTCTTCTATATTTTTATATTTAAATAAGATAGCAATTATATGAAATGAAAATAAAATACATATTTCATAAAAGTTTAATATTTTATTCAAATACTAAATAATACATATTATGTAATATGGATACTATAAAATTATTATTTATAACAATTTGTTTGACTTAACAAACATGAAACAATACTTACATAATATATGATAATAATTAATAAACATTTTAATTAGAATAATTAAAACACTTAAATGAATGGCTAGTTAAAATTTAAAATTACAATTCAACTTATAATTCAACTTTAAAACAAAAGTTTTAAAAGTTCATTAGAACTCTTTCCAATAATATCAATTACACTATCTTTATCAATTTCAAAATTTCTTTCAATATTCATCAATAACAATGCTTCCATTGTTTCTTGGGAAATAGCTGATCTTAATTTTGTTTTAATATTTTTTAACTTTGAAAAGATTCTTTTACAAGTAACTTAAGTACATGACAATGTTAATACAAATTTATATGTATAATATATATTATTAAAACAATCAGACTATTGAACTATATTATGTAACACATTGAAAGCACACTGTAAATAGTTATATAACATGTTTTACAATTGTTGGATGGGTCAATTTCAGATGCTTGGTCTTGATTTAAATCTAATTCATGTTCATAAATAGGAATTTGGGAGTCTTCAGTTAAAAACGTGAAAGTATCTTTAAAAGTTTTAGTAGTGGGATTAAACTGTAAAGCAAATTGTTATAATTCATATGCAAGTGTGTTTCTATTAATATTTGTTAGAATTGAAAGTTCTAGTAAAGCATTTGCAGGTACTTCATTTTTTATTGAATTAAAATTTTTAGAATCTAAGCAAATACAATCATTTAGTAATTTTGAATTACTTATAAATCGTTTATCTAAGCTTAACTATATTAATTGGTGTGTGTGTGTGTATACGCGGGTACGCCGTGTAGTCGAACGACCCACAAACAGTTATTATATTATTATTAATTATTATTACAATTCAGTTGTTAGATAATATTAATTTTATTTTATAAATCTAAGATCAATAAGGAACCATTAAAAGTGTTAAGATATGTTTGAATAAATGATAATCTTATTTAAATTTAAAATATGAACATGAAGTTTGGGGGTCCAAACACTCCAAACTAGCCGAGAACCCAGTCCGCGATCGCGGACCTGCGGTCCGGGCCAGCATAGGCGCACATAGGGGGGTGATTGGGAGTGCTTGGCACCCCCAGGCTTCAAATCAGCACCCCCAGTGGCCAGTTTCCTGTAAAATTTATTTCAGTATTTTATCAATCATTTGAAAATTATTGTGATTCATTGGGTTGGAATTTTTTTTCCATTACAAATAGACAATATGTAGCTTATGAATTCACGATTAAAAATGTATTGATTGTATTGTATGAATGCACGTTGCACTGTTCCAGTTTTCGTCTAAACGTTGAACATTAACAGCAATCATATAATAAAAATTTGCATTATCTAACAGAAAATTAAATCTTCTTTAAAATTAATTATTGATTAGATATTATTATTATTATTATTATATATTATTTTATTATTAATTATAATAATTAAAAATTATTAGAATGCAGTTTACTATGGTATTAGAGGAGTGTGAGGGGCAGCCCCCCACGGATCTGTTTACTGTAAATTATTCCAGCACCCCCTAAATTCACACCCAATGTGCGCCTATGCGGGCCAGTCCGACCCTGTTTAATACCGTGAAATGTGAATCCTGATTCGATTGTACGTTTAAAAGAAATGGGTACCGGTTATAATATTGTATAATATTTATAATAGGTATTGGGTATTTATCACAGAGTAAGAAATAAGAATATATAGTATACTCTGTGTATCTAACTATCGAAAACACTTTAATCACTATTGTCAATTTATTTACTGTTATTGAGATTATTGTACATTCTACGCAATGCGTTGTGTTGTGATTTGTCGACTTGTCGTACGGACATAGAATAATTAACAAATTTTTATCTCATGCATTCAAGTAGGTAATTAACAGTATTTACGAACGGACGTGATACCATTATTTTTCACGTGCAGATAGGTCGTAATTATTTCGGGCAAACATTTTATTAATAAATATTAACAGAAAATAACTCGCCTGCACGAGTTTATTATTATCGTGCGTGAATTGCAGTATAGCTGTAAACGCATTTGAGTTCGACCTGGAGATTAAAGTTAAGGTACATACCTACTTAGTTTTCTTTCTTTTAAGTAAATACACAATAATTTTACTCATTATAAAGGTAACTTATGTTAACTAAAAATGCGCCACAATACGTTATTAAAATCTCATATATTTTCACGATTAAATTGTATTAATTTATTGATTTGATTAAACTTGTTTCGAACATAACGTAACATAGTATAACGTTATTAATGTTAGAAGGGTCATTTTATTATTTTGACGATTCTAGGCACATCTGAATATTATAGTTTATAGCGCCTATGGTCACCAGATAAAACAAGTGTATCGCGCATGGGTAGGTACTAAAATGTGTATTTAAAAAGTTAAGTTTTATTATTCAGATTAAATTTAACAGGAGGGATCACCCACCCCTTCCTGGTGTAGAACCTTGTGTTTTACACATTATACATATTGGTATATATTAATAATGGATATATTGACAAATAAATATTAATAAAATAAAATTAATTTTACTGTTAAAATGCTGCTAAGTTCAGAAGTTACATAGTTTGTAAGTTAACACGACCCCTTTCTTTGATTGAGTTAAGATAAGCATCTGATGCGCTACTTATTTACAAAATTGTTTATTGTTTATTATACTTATAAATAGCAATGCAACGGGAATCCAGCGGTACCA